GTTATTGCAACAGCAATAATGTTATACCATCCAATGTCATAAATATTTTCATAATGGAACAGAATAAAATAGAAACAATTAAATTACATCATAGTTAACCATATATTACAGCCAATTACCCTATAGAAGGCAAAAACTCAAATTAATTAATAATTGATCATAGATCGAGAAAAACAATTCAATTCCATGTACAAATCAATGATCCGATCAATAGGATTTAAAAAAAATATATATTAGAATTTAGAGACAAAACTATACAGTTCAATTAAATATATGGAATCTATCAATTAAAGCAATTACAAAAAAAAAACAAAAAAAAAAAACTAGGATTAATATACAATCAGATCAAGAAAGACGTATGTAACAATGTATAACATAAATATATACAGAGGGGGTGTTACACAATGGAATGAGTATTCCTATTCCAAACACTGTTTACATGATTCACGATATCATTACTGAAAAAGCTTCATTGTTAGGAGCAATCGAGTAAGAGTGAACAAGTATAAACAACCATGGGGTAAGAAAGAAAAACAAAAAAAATTTTGGGCCCCCTAAAGAGCTTGACTTGAGCGGCTACCTCTTGGGCTTCTCTTCAGGTCCGATTATGCAGTAAAAGCGCACACTAGTTTAATGTAACTGGAAGCTGAAGGGCCAAATTATAAAATCGCTTAAAATAATGTTATTCATGCTTGTAGTTGCATGCGGTTTTAACGTTCATAATGACAATTTTCATTACTTGAAAACCCAAATTCATCGATTCAAAAAGGTTGGAAAGCATGATAAGTGTGTTTTACATGCTTTTGTAGACTTTTACATTATTTGGACGGATTTCTACACATATTAGTGTGTATATTGTTTATATTTTTGTAAAAATCAAATTTAAAGTTGAATAAAGCTAAATGAAGTGGTTTGGGGCTAAATTGGGTCTTAAAGGATAGAATTAAAGAGCTAGCGAGAAGTTTGGGGTTGATTGGAAGCTTTGAAAGTGCAAACAGGATGAACTCACTAGTTTTTTAGATCAAATTCTACATTTGGAGAGTTGGGGAACAACAGTGAACATTCTAAGAACTTGGAGAATCAAACTTGAAGAAAATGGAAGTCGAAGACCTAAAAGTGTACGTAAACCTAAGTTGAAGGACTAAACTAGTATGTGAATTGTGAATGGGGGGAAAATGTGCAAGGCTGAAAGATGAGGGACTAACTTGGGCATGATCAAAACTTGAAGGACTAAATTTGACAAAATAAAACGAAAGGGAAGTATATGGAAGAGATCAAGAAGTTGGGATTCTGGTGTGCAAATCTAAAGAAAGGTTAAGCGATGCCTTGTGCAAATTCGATAATTTATGATGCTTTTTGAACTTACCATCAAACAAGAGTGCCCAAAAAGAATAACATTAATTTCGNCCCCCCCCCCCCCCCCCCCCCCCCCCCCCCCCCCCCCCCCCCCCCCCCCCCCCCCCCCCCCCCCCCTTCACTTTTGGCCTTATAGACTAAGGGGGAGGTTTATGTACTTCAATAATGTCTTGAAGACTTCTATGAAAAAGGGCGGATCAAGAAAGATATATAGACCCTACAAGATACCATCCAAAGATACTAATGACTAAGCTCGTGATGGTTATTTAAAAATTGTTTGTATTTATTCGTATTTTTCTGCTTTTCATTTGAGTTAATTTCCTTCCTCTTTCAATGTTTTGCATGTTTGTTTTTTTCCCACAACCCCACCGAAAAAATAAATATTCTGCAAGGAAAAATGAATGACAAACATGTTGTGATGTTTATGTCCACATAACTCAAATCGTCATCACTCTTTAGTACGAGAATATCTAGACCAACCTTGAACCTTTAGTATAGTATTGATTTCGAAAAATCCTAGTTAGCAAGAATATATAAGCAAGCAATGGATAAGCCTATAAGGTAATAGTTGGAGCAAGACAACACAGATTCAAAACATTTCGTCATCCCCAATTGTGACATGGAGCAACCTAGTGGTACCAAGACACATTCATAAGCTCATTTTATAGAGTGGTGACAATTCTAAGTCGTGTGACTATTTTGGGAAAGGAAAGGAAAGGAAACTATCTAGGCAAAAAGGAAGAATAAATAACGTTCTAATATAAGAGAGTGCAGTATAAAAAAGAGTTATTTGCTCAACGAGGATGAACTGCTCACTAATTAATAATCTGACTTTCTTTATTTTTGTTTTAATGAAATTGGTACAATAACGATACCATGTTTATTTTGATTAATTTATAAAATTCTTATATTCATTAGTTATTATACTATTTAGAAGCGTATATTTAACGAGAGACCTTTGTGATAATAAATACTGCATTATTGACCAATTGCTTTATCAGCTATTCTAAGCTAAACAATGCAAATAACAGAATAAATAAATGAGTGGAATCCTAATAGAGTAAATTGACCTTTGAGAGGAATGAATTAAGAAGAATACTATCTAATAAAAATGTACCAAATTGAGTGAACTGGCCTTTGAAAGAAATTATTTAAGAATAATCATACTTAGTAAAAATGTCCCTTGAGAGAAGGAAAAGCTCCTAGCAATACATCCAATTTCATCAACAATTCTTAACAGAAATCATAAATTATTTACATCTACATCAGAAGGAATTTTATTAGACTCTAATATTAAAAAAAATTGTCACAATAGTTTCTTATAATTAAATTCAATGTATAAAAACTTTTGGTTGTATGTATTAACTACCAATAAATTATGTAGACCAACATATGAAATTTAGCATATGTTTTTTATACCATGATTCTTTTTTGACAGCCATGTCTTAAGTTTCACTTTTAGTTATTTTTAGGGTTCATTTGATTGACAAATGTGGAAAGAAATTTCAATTTCATATTAGTTGGAAAATAAAATAAAAATTTTAAATATTGTCAAAATTAAAACTAGCCGATCTAACTGAAAATCAAACTGATTTTTCAATAAAATCTCGTACGGATACTCGGACATGATTACGTGGAGCAAATGCAGCCAACATCGAGAGTGAGGCAACAATCCAAGATCAGGTGAAAGGTTGATCTTACCTCGAAATTATACATATTCCTCGTACCTATTAACCCATATTATAATCAGTAATTACATAAAATAAAAGTAACATGAGAATATTCGCCATTTGCTGACAATAGAAAATAAATATATATTCCTTCCTAGCAATCCACAAAAAGTTGCAGGAAAAAAAAAATCTCAATCCAATCCCATAGTGGCAAAGAATTATCGCTTTAGGTAATGAAGAAATGCATTGGACAGTGTTATATAATTATTATAATTATTTGTTGTTCAAAATTTGGGTTGAAATATGAATGAAATAATGATGAAATTGAAAAGCAATGTTGGATGATTTCTGCTTAGTCATGTGTAATCACGGGCCAAATAGTCTTGTGTACACAAGAAGTTGTCTACAAGAAATTAAAACAATTTTGTTTCTACTATGCGTACGCGAGGATATAACCATTCGTAAACATGGTTAAAAAATTTAGCTGTTGGGCTAATTTTTTATTTGAATTTCCGGTGTCTTTCTATGGAAAGTTCTCAACTTTTTGCAAGTGTTTGGAACTTTTCATTGTATAATGTTAGAAATCTATAAATAGGCGTCATATTTCAAATTCCAAATATAAGAAAGCAACATAATATTTCATCATTCATTTCTACAATTGATTTTTCACATTCTAATACATAGTCAAACCTTCTTCAAGTTTTTAATAAGTTCAACTAGAAGTAATCCTGAAAGCATAGTAGAAGATGCAAATATCGTTTTTAGGACAACAAACCACATACGTGTTCGAGCCTTGCTCTTCATTTCTTGTTTCCAACACCTTCTTCTCCTCTTCGATATTTCCAACCCAAAGAACCTAAATTGAAAGTTTTCAATTGTACTGGAAAAAACTTTTAGGAGTCATTCAATTATTAGGACTTTCATCCGTCCAAGAAACTTCAAGTTATATTCAGAAATTTCACAAAAGAAATCCAATAGATGAGATCAACACATAAGGAAGTTGATTGGTAGCCGAAAGAGAGAAGATTGATGGGCTCGGAGCTTGTTTGTACTACCTAAGTCTCAAAAATGAGATTAGGCCCAATCCTGGCCAATTCGTGAGCAGCGCGAGCACAAATATGGGCCAGCCAGTATGTGGGCTCGTGCAACCCGCTTGTACAATAAATTTTTTCAGTTTATAAAATTCAACAACTTACATAATTAAAGTTCCATTTTTTGGGTACGAGTCAAGCGAGCCAAGTCCAGGCTTGACTCAAACCCAAAAAGCTCGAGCCTTTTTTTATGAGCCGATACCGAACCAGAAGTCGGCTCGGCTCGTAATACCGCCATCCGTTTGAACCTTGCAATTTCGTCCCTGAAAGAAAATTGTTATAGTTCTTAACTGTAAACTAATAGTAACATACAGCAGAAAATTGAAGGAAAAAGGGTGGGAAAAAGTGTTCGAGACATGTTAAGCTTCATCAATAATGCATTAAGCAAATGGGTACCATACACAAGCCTCGCTCTAGTATCATCAACACAAAATGACAGCTATTCATTAAAAAATATTAAACGATAGACTACAAGTTCATAAAGAACGCATCTGATATGATGCACTTTTGTTACATTTATTCAATAACCGATATTTAGACAAAACATGTAACGTCAAACGTGTGAGGTTGAGCTTTTACAGTATATCAGATCCCGTCCAATTTTTACTTGTAATACTAACATCAATATGACACACACATGATAAACAAGAGAAAATGACCAGATTCTCTTATTACCTTTGACAAATACACGTCAAAAACCAGTAAGAATAACAAGACAAACACAGAAATATAACATTCAAACCTAAACAAAACCCCCCTGCTGCAAAATTGTTTCTCCATGTCCAACAAACCTGTCATGGCTGCGAAGTTCTAATTTGCGGCTTAATGTTCTGTGTGGAAAGCTGAGTGAAAGTTTCAGGTAATACCACTGTCGAGGCTGCTGTCATGGTTTGATATGAGAAGCCAATTGGGGAGGCAAATGCTGAGTATAATATACTTGAGAGCGTGTAGGATCAGCAAATTCATAAGCATAATTAGAATTAGCAGCTGAAGAGACAGCGACTGACTGAGATGGATGATGAATTTGAGTGAAGGCAACATATTGTGTTTGCTGCTGGCTGGAAGGAACCTGGAGAAACTGTGGAGCAGTTGTTCTGTAAACACCGGCAGCCATTTCAGCGTTTGAGGCAGGAACATTTCTTGCCTGATTGTAGGCTGCAGAAGGTGTTCGGGGATAGCTAGAAGCTGGAGCTGGTGCCGATTCACTATAATTTGGTTGCTGGACAGGCAAATTATAGGCTTGGGTTGGTCTAGCAGGCAGAAAGTAAATTGGGTACTGCCGGTCGAGCGCAGGGTAGTGAGAATGGTTCTGTTGCTGGGAAGAGTGCATCGGGTAATATGAAGTAATTGGTGTTGCACCAGCAGGGATGTACTGAGTACCGGCATGAACAACCTGTTGTGTCTGGTTCAATGGAGGATGATTTTGGTCAAACAGGTCGGACAATACATAACCGGATTCCTGAACTTGCGGTTCCATCGGAATAGTCCTAGTGTTTTGATCCCCAATCTTCGGATCAACTTGATTAGCCAAAACCCTATTGTTTACAGAGTGAATTTGAACGAAAGGTTCTTCATATAAAGTTTGTCTCTGCCTAGACAGTGGATTTGTTGCACTTCCCTCGCTGTACCAATCCAACCATCAAAATCCCAATTTAGAATACATACAACATAATTCAGCATTCAATCAAAAAGCACACAAGAAACAAAACAATTCATACATATGGATATTCTTAAATTCATTCAAAGATCTGTACTTCAGAAAATTGGGGTACCTTGAAACTGATTCAGGCGAATGAAACTCAATAGCACATACTTGTTTTTGCTGAAACTGAACCTGCATCGTTTGCTGTGCTTGCTCTTCCTTCCTATCACCACTACAATCCGATCCCTCTTCGCCAGAGAAAACAGGATTAGCATAATCGCCACTAATCATCGCCGGCAGCACCGAAACTGGGGTTCCAGCCGAAGCCAAAAAACCTCCACTTTCTTGTATCTGCGGCGAAGTAAAACCACCAACAACCCCAATATTCATCTGCTGAAAACGCTCTTCAACTCCCAACTTCTGATTCTCCTTCATGGTCTCTCTTATGGGCGGTAGGTTTGCTACAGAAGGTGAACTTGATGTAGACCCAAATGATGACGATGTCTCCACCATTGGAGAATCAGGGACCGGATGCACATCTAGATTAACAGTATGGTTCGAACAGTTCTTTGATCCCTCCAATTGGGATTCTACTTCATTTCCTGTGGCAGCAGACTTTCCACCAAAATCATCATCAAGTCCAAGTAGATAATTGATCGAAGATGAATCTGAAAACCCAAGATCACTTGCAGCAGTAGACAAATTCCAACCTTTCCCATTCAGTACATTTAGAAACCAGTCCTCTGATTTAGTCGAAGAGGTCTCTATCAGCAAATGCTCAATACTCGAAGATTTTGGAAATAAAAACAAACGAAGCCGGCCTGATTTTTTCAAACTACTGTTTCTGTTATTCAAACGGTCGTGCTCTTCGACCATGCATTCAAGGTCTTCATCTGAAGAGATGGAAATTAATGAGTCTAGATCTTCATTCGGGAGTTGGTACTTCAAAGTGAAGGGCTGGTTGTTTAAAAGGGTTTTGGAAAGGCGGTGGTGGATGTCGGAAAGGGAAGTATGGCGGTCGATGACGATCATACGGGTGTCACCGCCGATGTAGCAGAGGGACTTGTCATGTGGGCGGGGGACTATATGTCCGCCGTAGCTGCACATGAGGCGGAGCTTTGGAAGGGGTGGATCGTTCCAAGATTCGTCTGAATTGATGTTGGTAGGAGGCTGGAACAGCCGAGGTGGAGCATCCGCCGTGGTGACGATGGCGGATGGAGTGGCGAGTTGCGGTGGAGCCTCCATTGAAAGAGAGAAGTTGGAAAGAGAAAAGGCGGAGAAGGCGATGTCTTTGTTTACAGTAGTAGTTTTTATAGTTGCTGCTGACTCCACTTGGTTAGGATTAATTTAATGGAACTTTTGATAGAATCAAATGCTACGTGAATATCTGTCTGTATGTTTCCAATCTTTATTTTTTCATATTTTAGACAAGCACATATAATTGTTTATGTAATTCCAGGTGGATCCTCTATCTTTGCTCATAATGGCCATAAAGTCTCTAACCTTTTATTTGTGACAGTCAAGTTCTAATGATTTAGTGGGTTTTAATAATAATAATAATAATAATAATAATAATAATAATAATAATAATAATAATAACAATAACACGATTGTGTATTGGTAATTTATGTAGAAAGAACGATTAGTTTAGGAAACATCATGTGATTGTCATGTGCTAATTTTTAATCGTGAAAGAGTCATCATAAACTGAAGATACTACTCACATGGTTTCTTAGGTTGTTGGATCTGGGCACAGTAATGAAATGTTTGAGACCCCATTGTCACAGTGAACAAATAGTGAGAACCTCTTTGAAATTTGTCTTTCTTCTTTGACAGCAATGAAATATGTATATACTTCAATGAAACATTGGAACAAGGAGGAAATGGGGGGAGTAAAAATTGGGGTCCAGGAAAAGAGAAAAAATGGGAATTGGGTAAAGTCATGTGGGTATGATTATTTGGCGTGATTTGAGGAACTCATAAATTTTTCCATGTATCTAAATGCTCAAATGGGAGGGGAGGGAAAATAGGAAATGAGATAATTAGAGGTAGTTCTCGTCGTATTTCAGTTTTGTATTTTTAGTTTTAAATTCGTTTTGAGTTTTGTACTTTGAGTGTCCATTTTGATATTGTTAAAAAGATGTTCTTTCTGCTATTTTTAAAATTTGCTTTGAAAAATCAAAAATCTCAAAATGTATTTACATTCTCCTTTGAATTTTCTCACTCGTCTCTCTTTCTCTCTTCTTCCCTCCTCTCTGTAACCCGCCGGAACCCCATCCTCTGGCCACCGTCTTCATGTACCTGGAGTCATGCTTATTCCAGCCTACCAAACCAAATAATCATGGAATGCTCCTTGTCTCGGAGATCAAAAACCCTAACCGACCCATCGGCAAAAACCGAAGCAAAAACCCCAACACCTCCCCCAAGCAATATCATAAACTTCCTTATTGTAAGAAGATGATTCCTTAAATTCAGTTTTAATACCTCAGACATTGGATGAAATTCTATTGCAAAAAGGAGTCGTTTCTCTTGCTGTTTTGATCAACTGAGCTCAGTTGGAATCTTCAACAACATGGAGCCTTAATTGGTTAGTTAGTTAATAACTGAAACGATTCCTTGTTTGTGTTTATAAAAGGGCTGCATTAGGAGTGTAAAAGATGATCTCAAAAATAGAGAAAGTGAGATGAGATAGAGTAGTGAACTCTTGTAAATCTGTAGAAATTTTTTATGATGATTTCAGATTATAAATCATGTAAAGTATTGTGAATAAATCAAGGCTGAGGAACACATTCTTCTTGTTCCAAATATCTGCTCTTCGGTTCTTCTTCTACTGGTTTATTTCTTCTTTTTGGCAAATATGTTCTGATATTTTTCCTGCATCTGTTCTCTTATTCAAACAAATTCTGTATTAATTTTAGACTTAAAGGAAGTCCTCAGCCCCAACAATTGGTATCAGAGCTGGTTCTTGAGAACCTGAAAAGGGGCTACAAATCAAGTCTGAAATTCTATTGTTTTTCCTCTTCTTCCTAACTGGCTGTACACATCATTTGTGAAGAAAGATTCCTGGCCAGAATCTTAATCACACCATGTCAACATCCAAATTTGAAGTGGAAAAATTTGATGGCAAGAATGATTTCAACCTATGGAGGGAGAAGATGATGGCACACCTTGGCAATCTTGGGTTTGAAGAAGCTTTGACAAAGCAATCTGAAACTGATGCTTCAACCAAGGTCGACACCTTTTAGAAGGCCAGAAATACCATCATCCTTAGCCTCTCTGATACGGTTTTAAGAAAGGTTATAAAGGAGAAGACAACGTTTGAAATGTGGAGTAAACTAGAGGAGTTTTACTTAACTAAAGCTTTGCCAAATCGAATCTATTTGAAGCATAAGTT